GGGGCAGAGCGGACCACGCCGCCCGGGGAGGGGGAGGGGACACGCAGGCAATACGCCGTGACCAGCGAGGGTCTGGAGGAGAGGGGCTGTGCATACAAGTTAAACCACGTTTAGGGGAGGAGTTCGGAGGAGCCACCCCCTCTGGTGGGAACAGCATTGAACACACGCCCTTTTCCTCTCGCCCGGTAGCTAACTGCTCTCCCCGGCTCGGCTTCCTACTGGTGTTTCCCCCCTTTCCCCCCCCACCCCACCCCCAGAGGGCTGATTTTAGGTCGTGGGGAGGAGGAAACCGTGGGCCACTTAGCTAAACGGGCTGCGCTCTCCCTGGCAGTAACGGAGGTGGGTCATGGTGTTTGTGTCTTTAGTTAAACAGCTTTGGGCCTGGAGCGTGGAGTTGCAGGGGAATCCTAGCTCTTTAATCGTGATAACTTTGAAAATCTACAGCACAAGAAACTTGCCATGTATCTGAAAGCTTACTGGGGGGGAGGCATGTATTCTTTTTTTTTTTTAACCTTTCTCTGGAAAATACTCAGAGAGTGAACTTGTAATTTAAATTGTCTTTATAGAAAAGAGATTTCATAAGGTATTCTTTGAATGCTCTGAAATAGTTTAATTCTCAAGATACTCTTAAGTAACTGGTTGTTCTTTTATTCCCAGTAAGCTTGATCTGGTGTGTGGATCCTAGGTATTTTGGACCTTTTGGAACAATAAATGTGAAATTAATTGTGGTTATGAAACCTACATAGACATTTATAGGTGATAGCCGTCGTATTTAAGTAATATCTCTAATATGTGAGAGTTTAAAGAATACATGGAAACTAGGACTACTTTTCTAAGTAGGGAGGATTGGCACAGTGATTGGTGAAACAGTTGTTTTTTCATAGCTTGCCCTTTTTTTTTTTTTTTTGACCAATAGTGTATTTCTGCATGTAAAGGTAAGGGTAGATAAAGCTCAAAGTTCCAATCTTAGGGAGCTGTCTTGGGTCCAAAAGGTGAATTAACAGGACTGGGTATGCTCTGCTCTGGAGCATCGGGCTTTGGCCTTTTGCAGGGCAGGGTGTTGGACTGGATGGACTAGTGGTCTGACCGTGCCTGTGTTTTGAAATACAGTGGCGATGTGACTTTGGTGCTCAGGGTGACGCTCCAGTGTACCTTCTGCTGGTGGTTTACTTGCCAGCACTGGAGTGTTGCTACAGGTAAGGAAAGTATTGTATCTTTGAAAGTATAGCTTCTAAGGTTGCTGGTGTTAAGTAACTTTGTAAGCAACCATTTCTAAAAAAAAAATTTAAAAAAAGAATCTGTAGAATCCTGCAGTGTTGTGAAAGATCTGACTTGTCTTACCCTCGGTTGACAGGCACTGGTCTATAGGAAAATCAAGTGCCAAAGTCCAGCAGGCTGTTAATAGCAGAAAACCTTTTGGCATGTGTCAGGAATAGATCTAGCAATTGGCTATCTAGTGGAATTTAATAGCCCTTTCAGGGGGAAAAAAATGTAAATATTCAGTGGCTAGTACATTATATTGCTCTGCTTAAGAGAGCTGTCCAGTTACTACCAATAGATTTAAATCCAAAACTTTTAACATGGTATAATTATTTTTTCTGAATGTCTTGGCTAACTGTGGGTAATAGGGAAGTCTGGTGAAAGGTTCCTCATCAGAATAAGATTTAGTGTTGGAAAGGTTTTCCTCTTCGAATTAGTTTATTATGTCTGCTAGTTTCTAGTATATATACACACCTAACGCAATGAGCTGAATAAGATCCAACATATATCCCCAGTTTCTACTCTACTTGTCAGTAGAAGACTGCCTTAAGTTGAAGTCAGCTTCTTAAAATTGTTAAGAAGCAGTAGTAATAAAGTCCTGGTATTTACAGGCTTCGTGTGCCTGGCGCTCGGAGCCAAGTACTTTCTACACAATTAAACTACTGGGTGGATAATGATGGTATCTGCACTATTGTTAGAAAATGGCAAGAAGTAAAAGTAACGGAACCCACAGTTATTGAACCTCTGCATCTTGTGGCTAACTCTTCAGAAGTACTGCAAAGAGCACTTGGAGTTGGTGGTTACGTTATTATGTCCCTACTTATTCTTGAATGCAAATGAAAGAAACCATTTTGAGCTACTGTTTTTATATGCCGCATCAATTAATGTGTTTTAAGTAAGAATGTTGACTTTAAATTGGATGGAGCTTGCTTCTGCTTTCCCTCGCTGGTCACTTTCACTTGCTGGTACTCCTGCAGGCATTGCAAAATGAAACGGTGTGGGCAAGTATGGAAATCACAGGGTTGTTTTGTTTGTTCATTTTAAGATTAAAGCCAGTTAGTTACAAATCGATCTCTCTCAGGGCTTCAAGGCTTTACGGACTTCATTCTTCTTCATTAGTAACTCTTGAATCCCAGTCTTGCGTTGGCACTGCAGTGGAAGGGTGGTCCTTTGAAACGGTAGTTGCAGGAAAAAATGTGTTTTATCTATTCAGTATAACTTGTCTTGTTGCCAGTGTTGTACCTGGACAATGTAAAGTATAAATACAGTGAATCTGGAAAACTTCGTGGAGTAGCAAGGAAGCAATGCTTTGTTGGGGATTGGCATTTAGCTTGAGTAATAATGTGTGGTGGTGTCCAGAGATAAGCTATAGACACTTTCCAGATAAGTAAAAAGATACGATCCTTGCTGTGAAAACTTTTAATCTGAAGAGAAATAAAGAGCAAAGTAGAGGTACAATAAAAATCAAAATACCAGGAACAACACAGGTTGCAGAATTGGGGGTTTTGTGCGTGTGTGTGTTCTGGGGTTTGTTTTTCCCCCCGCTGCCCTGCATCAGAACATTTCTGTATTGTATTTTTAAATCTTCTCAATTGTAGTTAGGTTCAAATGGAGGATGGGCACAAGACTGCTTAAACTGTTGCTGCATAAATCATTTAATTGTTTTATGGAGTTTCAAGTCATGTGTATCCCTAAAAATTCTGCAGATACCATGAGCAGTGCCTAGTCTTACAGACGTTTGGAGTTACACCAAGTCCAGACCCAAACAATGACCTCTGTAATTGGGAACCTCTAGTCGGTGAGTCTTGTCTGAGTACAGTTGTGCCAATTTTTAAATAGACTAACACCATAGTGACGTGGTTTAGGTACATAACTGTCACTAGGCTTCGATGTTTCAATTTCCGATGCATAATTGTAAGTGAATGTCTGTTCATTTAAGGCCTAAATCTAGCACGGCATATTTGTTTTGCACAACTTTGAAAATACCTATAAGAAATAATTTCCTATCTATCTTTTTTCCTATCTATGTATAAAAAAGGCACCAAAGGGGTGCTTTTAATGGCAAAATTTATTGATAATATATTGACCTCAAAGTGGGACACCTTTGCCAACTGGAATGAGAACCAGAAAGTGAAACTGACCACTGGGCCAGAGACCGAGCCTCTGAAATGAAGAAAGGTCCATCACTTTTTTCACAAATGCTTAATTTGATGGTTGTATTGGTTAAATGCTGTAGTTAAATTTTTATTTTTAAGAGAAAAGTCACCATTTAATGTCTCATTCATTTTACTTGCCATATTGTATAAGAGGATAGGTTGTTCCTTCTGCTTGTAATCATTTGACCTAAACGTTCCTCTTCAGTGCATGATGAGATCAGTTACTAGCTTTTTGAAAGCTCTTCCTAGCATTGCTTTTCAACAGTACGCGTATTTTTTTAAATTTGGGCTTTACTTGTGGATTTTAATGCCTGTGGAAACATCTGGGGGTCTAAGCACTCCCTTTTAACAAAACAAAAGCTTTCTAACTTGACTGTTAGTTTGTATTCTGGCATGTTGACTTGCAAAGACGGAGGGTTTAGGGACCTTGCTAGCTGAAGATGGGGTATTACTACTATATAGTCCTTATTTAGTTGTATAGGCATTTAGTGATCCTTTTAAACGTTAATATTGCTTTTCATCATTTCAAAATTTCAGTTTGGTAGGCATCAAGTATGGGTTGTAAGAATCACTGTGCATTTCTGAGTTCTTATTAAATTACTTGGGTATTACTTTTAGCAAAGCAAGTGCTTCCCATGTAACGCGTTGATGACTTACTAGACAAGTTGGGCTTTATTCCAGAAATACTGGACTGACAGCTGTTACTAAAAACTTACGCTATCGAGACATCTCTATACACCTTGCCTCCCCCACATACACTTTAAATGTTAAGTTGAATTGGCAAGTAAGTTATCTTAAAATTTCAGTACAAATTTTAAACCAGATTGAACAATATTCCATCCCAGATGTCTACTAGACTGTCATTTTATGCTCAGTCTAACTGAATTTAACAAATAGTTTATTTTCATGTCTGGTTGCTTGCCTTAACATCTTCTAGTTTTTGGTAGTGGCAAAGAGATACTCTTCATTGACAAAATGAGCAATTTTTTTTTTTTTTCCTGGCTCTAGGCTCCAGTGAACTTATCTACTATGTTTTTATCACCTTGGTGTAATAAAAGATGCAGTCTCTCTTTGCAAACTTGTAGTTATTAAGCATTGCACGTCAGCGCTATTGACAGTTCTAAAGAAAAACATAAGTTGATCTAAATGGGGTGAATGATGAGTATAGAGTGAAGAGAATGGCAGATGCAAGAGCAGTTTGTTTGATGTTTCTGCCCTCGTGAGCTTCCCTGGTTCTGTTGGGAAGACTTGCAAGTGTCTACCTTCAGTAATACAAGTGTAGATACTACTTCTTTCTTCCACCCTTCTCCTTGCCCTGCAAACTAACACAAAGCAAGCCAAGCAGCCTTCTCTCTTGTTTTCTTCTGCTAAAGTGATTTTTTTTTTTATACAAATGTCACTACTCCTGTTCACCAGGTAATGAGAGCCTAGCAGGATTTACTTTCTAGTTGAAAACATAGGGTACGGTGCTTAGAAGGAGGAAGGGCATAGACAATGTTTTCCACTAATGTTTTATCTGACTGTGTTACATTTTCAGTACCTGATTTAGTGTGGGTCTCTAACTGAAAAAAGCAAGATGAAACTGTATGACCAACTTACTACAAGGTGGTAATAGTGCAATTTCCATCTTGTTAGATAAGTGATGTCAGAAACCATTTTTTTTACAAAGTTACTATAACAGAATATGTGGCAATCCTACTTTTTTCTCCCTATTTATGCTTTTAGATGAAAAAAACCCCTAATACCTGATACTTACACCAAATCAAACATCTTACTTAGTAGAACTTCATTGTTCTTCAGGTAGTTACCTGTTTAATGTTTTCTCATGTGAGATGGGTCAGGAGGCAATCTTCAGGAAGACTACCTGTTGGAACAGGAATTTGAGTCCCTGCGCAGTACACCATAACAAGCCTTGCCAATAGTTGTATTCCTAAATTGGTATTTTACTGTATTTGGACTGCAAGCGAGCAAGCAGTGCTCTGCAGCACATTGCTGTTGTACTTTGCTCCACTCATGCATACTCTGAAGCTTGGATGGGATTCAGCCTGTAGAAATCTAATGACTGGTCTTGCCTTCTTTTCATTTGCTTGTTTGGGTTTTTTTTCAGGGGTTGTGAGGGGCTGTTGGAGCTTAAGAGGCTTGGTGTAGGGTTGAAATAAAACAGTTATGCTCCTTCGTCTTTTGAAGGCTGCTGCTGTAAGCTGTGAATAGAGGTACTTGTACAGGAGGGCAATTTATAACTGATTTCAAATGGGTCAACAGCCAGAAGGCAACGATGACTTTTGGGGTATCTTTCAACTAAACAGTCTTATCAGCAATGCATGTAGTTAATCACAAAGTGCAGTTCAGTTATGGGAGCCGAGTGTGAGATTCCAGGGCCGTGCTCTGCAGTGCAGGAGAGGGGAAGGGCACTGTGGTTTGTGTGCTGGATGGAGCTTGTGTTGGCTTCTCTTGGCAGCGGTCCTCAAGTCTGTGATGCTGGGTGGGTCACTTAAGCTATCACTTGCCTGACTTCTCTAGCTGTAAAAGTGAGTTCATGTGATGGTTACTACAAAATAAAGTTCGTCGTTGGCTTTGGGCTAAAGGGATTGTAAAAAGTGTGTGTGGAGGGGTGTCTGCATCTCTGGAGCCTTTTTCAGCTGTGCCTCCTCTTCCCATTGCATCTCAGCTGTAAGAGGTGGATGTTTGGAGTCTGAGTTTGACTGAGGCATTACCAGCCAGAACTCAAATATAATTCAATTATGTAGCTGTCTTGGTTCCCTTCAGTAGCTGTGTTACAGGGCAGTTATATCTCGTCAATAAAGTAGTTGAGACAGGTGCTGAGAAAGTAGCCAACAATTACTTTTATTTTGGGGCTTTTTTAGGTTTTGGTAAGTTAGAGAAACAGATCTAATTGTGTTGGCAAGTGAGGCATTGATTTCAGTAATAGCTGCCTGTGTAGTTAACTGATTTTGTCTAGAATTAGCTATTGCGTTTGTGCTGTTAATGATACCTCGTTGCCTGTGCTACTTTCAGTTTGGTTAGAGAGCAGAGGAGGTGCTGATGAGGTAAAGAAAGTATGGGTCCGTGCTCGTTTGCTGTCCAAAACCATAGCTTGGGTGAAATGCCTATCTTCTTCCATGGTTGTGCCTAGTGATACATTTAAGTATAGTAACAGTACTCTTGCATCTTGTTAGAGCATCAAAGTAACTGAGAGCGCTCCTAGAAGCCCCTGGTGAAAACTTAAAATGCTTTAGAAATGGGGAACACATGGGCAAACAAAAATCTTGAAGAGAAGGTATAAGAGCAAACATGATTACATTGAGCTGTGAGAAACAGAAATTCAAAAAAGACCAGTTAGGAAATGTTTATCTAATTCATTATAATATTTGTGTACTTGTTTTGTACCTATAATCCTAGTCTTAAATTTCACAGCTTTGAGACAGGTTATTAGGGGGAGATCTGTCTTAAAGTTCAGGCTGATGCATTCTTTAAATGAGTCTTCAATCTTGGGATGCAGATACTGCTTTAAAATAGTGCTTTCACTAGTATAGTTGTAATAAAGATAGATGTTTAGTTTTAATAATGAAAGAAGCGTGTAGCATAGGTTAAGATGGCTCTTCCTCACTGCAGTCATGAGACATAGGAGATTGCTACCTATCAAAAAGCACTTTCAAATTCTAGGAATATAATCCACTCTATTATAACCACTCCTTAGGAAAATGCTAGAATATACTGTGTGCTCATTTCCGACTTCAAAGGTATGGGTGGCTTATTTATGAGAATTTTCTTGGGATGTTTTTGGGCTACAAATTCTGCACTGGAAGCAAGGATATGGAACTTTCTTGTTACTTGAAGAAAGCTTTTGTATCTTTGAGATTATGAATTGCTAATTTCCATCCCCCTGCTTTTTAACAGGAACAGGAAGGTGGTCGATTACTCCCAGTTTCAGGAATCAGATGATGCTGGTAAATGACTTTTTTTCTTAACAATAAAATAATCTTGGGCTAGAGCAGTTATTTATTACTTTGCATATTAATTGTTTTGCTTCTAGTCACATTTTTAACTTAAATTCTAAGGAGTTTCTGCTCTTCACAGTCTCTGAACTGTTAGTGAGTATTTGAAAATATGATTCTCATATGTTTTGTATTAAACAAACAATGGTGATAGAAATCTTATTATTTAATGCTTGTATTGTTGTAGTGCCTTGAGGCTGTTGGCAGTAACTGTCTTCCTTGGTCTATGCTACGTTCTGTGGCAGAATCTCCCTGATGCCACTTTTTTCTAAGTAAAATATGTTTTCAATTTATTTTAGTGGATTCTAGTTAATCCCATAATATCAGGCATTTTTGTGAATTGCATCTAAAAAAAAAAAAATCTTTGTATGTTCTGTGTGAATTAACGAAATGTTTCTGGAAGCCATATGGAATATGTTTTGTGTTCATAGAAAGACATACTGCTACTGTTTTGCTAAGTGAGGTTGCACTGATAATTAATGGAAACAAATATGCATAGTTCTTATTTGCAGTCCTGTCACTCATATTGTATAAGGTAGTGTGTAACAGTTGTAGTTTACAGTGTAACTTTTAATACATAATGACATACTTTTTCTCATCACAGGACAGTAAATGAAGTGTTAGTCAAAAGCATGTAGAAATATGTATGGATGTTAACTTTTAATAGGTTTACATAATAACTCTGTTTCTGACTGGCTGTAAAGCTAAGATAACTGTGTCCTCTTGTGAGGCTCTTTGTACGTTTCCTGACACTCCTGTGTCAGACTTGATTGTATGAGGCATTTTATGTGCCATTGGCAGAAGAAAAGGTAAATTGCTAGTTTAAGGCAGGACTTTGCTTCTATAAAGTTTTGTTTGAAGCTTGTGATTTGTTTTTTTTTTTGAAGGGCTTCTTTTTGATGTGCATGAAATGATCAGTTTAAGTTATAGCTGAGGAAGTCAGTTTGCTGGGAACTAGGAGTTTGATTCAAAACCATTTTGTACTGTCCCGTCCAGATGAAGATTATGGAAGAGATTCAGGTCCCCCATCCAAGAAAATCCGTTCTTCTCCCCGGGAGGCTAAAAATAAGAGGCGATCTGGGAAGAATTCTCAGGAGGACAGGTAAAAGAAGCACTTCATCTGTTACGAACATGTCTCCAAACGCTGTCCTGCATGTGGGGAGCAGTATCTTCTAAGAGGAATGATTGTAAGTGGAATTCAAAGTCTGCAGCGTAAGATACAGAGCTCTCAATCACGAAGTTTGCATAAACAGCTTGGACATTGAGGTGGTTCTTCCTTATTCAAGCAGGCAGAGAAATCGCGTGTAAAGTACTTGTCGCTAGTACTTCATTATTAAAATGGCTTTCCAGAGCTAGACAGTTGGAATGGGAAGGAATATGATCTGAGTTACGAAAATTGGCAACTAGTGCAGTTATCCAGGTAAGTTAGTGGCAACATGCGTTTCATTTTCTATGGTTTTTTCGGTATGCTCAAAGCATTCCTGTGGTTAAAGATTAAATGGGGCAGTACAGTGGCAGTTAGGAGTAAGGGCCGTTTGTTAGTTTTGTGGTTCTTTGTTTCCCATTTCCTGTTTTGTCTAATTCGGAAACAAAGTACCTTGTTTTGATAACTGAGTTGCTCCAGCAGTGTGAAATGATTCGGTTCTAAGTGATGCCCTACTGAATAGTGAAAGTCTGTCCTGTAGAGTGAAGGTATCTTCCTTTTTGCAATAATTGTGGTCAGCAAACGATTGCCACAAGACCTATTAAGTCAATTGACTGCTTTCACGACAGGCATCAACGTCAGGGATGGAGGTTCTGCCAGCTGGTTCTTATTCTATAAACCCAAGGTGTCTTCGTATTCTGTGGCACTGTTTGCTGGAATATAGGTAACTTACCAGCAGGTATGCTTAAGAGGCTTCCCCATCATGTTCCTGTTCTATAAGGTGAAAACTGAATGTAGGCATGGGAATATTTGCCTGGTCCACCTGCTATTGTGAGCTGAGAGGGAGAGGCTATTTTTACGCTGGCAAATGCCCGTAACACCTGAAATCAAAGATTTAATGCATATGACGTATAAAGAAATAGGGCTAGGCAGCTCCCAAAGCAACTAAACAGTTGACCTTGGTGTCCTGTTAGCTTTGGGGATTTTTAAGTATTTAAGAACACTGCTGTGTGTATCACAAACATTGCAGAGGGCTCACATGTAAAACAAACTCATGTATTTAAGTGATTGAAATCCACAGTTGCCTGTATAAGACTGAAAACATATGGGCCTGAGGGACTGTAATGTGACAAGTTATCTAAACTATTAGGGTTCTTGAGAAAGTTGTGTGTCAGCTCCAACTGCCAAACTTGAAAGGAACAAAGGTTCGATCTATTGTATTTCTTGACCTTAGCAAACTCTGCAGTTCAGCCATTCCTGAAGCGTATGTTGTACAGCAGTGGCCTGCAACAGAGCATTCGCCATTCCTGTTTAAAACACTTGTTTACTCTCTGATTGGTGTGCATGTTTTTATGTGCCGGAAGGAAAACCCTCTCCGGACAGTGGTAATGACTAACGATGAGGGTTTGGATAAGAACAGAACATTTGTACCTGCTTGATAGAGGTACCCTCAGGTGAGGATTGAAACTGCTAGAAGGGAGCAGTGAAACTCCCATCAGAGATCAGATCGTTTGGGAGCTTGTAGACCAAATATGTGCTACTTAACTGCTCTACAGAATGAAGGGGTCTAAAGAAAACAATGACATAAAGATAAGTGATGACTATAAATCTATTCAGAATAAAACTTTATTCCATTTATAGGCTCAGCCATGCATTAGCATATAGAACTTCAACATTCTAACTGTAGAATGGAAGGCATTTGGATTACTGGTAGGCTTCAGAGTGAAGTGCGTGATTCATCTCAACCTTATTATTTTCTGATTGGTTCACTTGACTCGGTTTAAGTTTGTGTGTGATTCAGAGTTTGAATGTTATCTTTCTGACTGTGGTACTACATACACAGCTGAGTAATCCTGAAGCATAATGTGGTTATGTCCAGGGAGAGTATAATGTGGTTATCCCAGCCTAGAGATCAGTTTGCTCTCTGAAAATTTATATTTTCCATGTAGCAGTGACTGAAACCTGAGTTAAAACCGCAGTCAAACCCTGTCTTTCTCTTATTTTCAGTGAGGATTCAGAAGAAAAAGATGTGAAGACTAAGAAAGATGATTCACACTCAGCAGGTAACTAACTACATTGCGCTAATACTGTGTCTTCAAAGTAAAGACCAGTTTGTACGTTACAGGAGTAGGGTTTGACATAGGAGCGAAATTGTTCTGACTAGAGAAGCATGTGCTTTTCTAATACGCTTAAGCTGAATGCTGCCTCTACTGCTGTTACTTCCAGCCCTGGTTTGGTGTAACGGAGATTCTTTTTGTGTAATATGATGCTGCTGTAAAGTTTGTCTTCACTGATAGATACATGTATGTTAAGTTCTTCCCTATAGTTCTTGTCCATATTTCAGAATGATACATGAAATTTCATACTTTTTCTTCCAGATGAAGATTTTGGCAGTGAAGATGATGACTTAGGAGCAGATGATGGCAAAGCTGACAGTGACTATGAGAGCTCTCAAAAAAGCAAAAAAGGAAAAAAGGCTAAACCAGAAAAGAATAAGAGAGCAGCCTCCAAATCCAGGAAAAGGCCTGCAGGTAAAAAAAAACCCAACCAAACAAACCCAAAAGGATTGCTAGTCTTTGCAGTGAAAGGTGCCGCACAGGATCATTGCTGAGTGACTACAGAAATGTGCTTATTAGGTTGAATCTGACAGTGTTCTCATAGCTTGGTTATTCAACAAGTGTCCTGATTTAACTTTCTCATGAATTACTTGACCTTTGTCTTGCCCGCATGTTACCTCAAGACAGTTAGGAGGTCTGTATTCTGGATCTTCATTATAACTTGGTGACTTTTGCTGCAGAGGACAGTGAGGACGAGAAAGAAGACCACAAAAATGTGCGTCAGCAACGACAGGCAGCGTCCAAAGCAGCTTCTAAACAACGAGAGATGCTTATGGATGATGTGGGTAGTGAGGAGGAAGAACAAGAGGATGATGAGGCACAGTTCCAGGAGAGTGAGTAAATGGATTGTAAAAAATTAAAATCAATGTGATGTGGGTATAATACCAGACATGAGTTTATGGGTTTGGCCAGACAGCAGAAGGAACACAGTTCGCTTTTTGACTGTGACAGTGAAGACCTAAGTTGTCCTTCTCAGTAACTTCTTTGATACTGGATATCTGTCCAACAGACCAAGCTTACATGTTTCACGTCTAGAATTTTTATTTGAAGTTTGCAGCAAAGATGTACATCTTTATAAGCAGCACTAGAGGATTATTGAGTTCTTCATGCTTTTTGCTGCTGCTTCCTATCCCATTGGTTTTGAGGCATTGATGTTGCTTTTGGGTGATGTGAAAGTACTTTATCCTTGATTGATCAAAGTAGGACAGTTTGTTTCATAAGAAGAGATGGGTTCAGCTGGTAATGATAAAAAAAAAAGCCACAAATTATGGTAATAGTAATTCAGCTGGAGTAAGTTCCTGAAATACTGAGTGCAAACATGGCTTCAGAATGGAGTAAGAGTACCATTGAAAAGATCACTTAACTTCTTGAGAACAAGACATTCTCTTTATTTTGAGATGGGTTTCTTGTTAAGGAGATGGAGCATATTTTGAGGACCTCAAAACACTTGCCTGTTTCATCATACTAGTGTTTTATCCCTACCAGTGTAAAATCTTCTGCAATATCAGATTTCTTTAGCACAGCAGGTAGGTGGAAGCTCATAAGGTTGCAGAGTCCTAGTTTTCTGTCTCTGCAGTTTTAACTGGCAGATCTCTCAACTGTATCTTCTGCTCCCTTTCCTTTTTTCCAAAAACTTAAATTTCTTTGTGCTTTCAGCAGATTCAGGAAGCGATGAAGACTTCCTCATGGAAGATGATGATGATAGTGACTATGGCAGTTCAAAAAAGAAAAACAAAAAGGTCTCCAAGAAATCCAAGCCAGAGAGGAAAGAAAAGAAAATGCCAAAGCCCAGGCTAAAGGCTACGGGTGAGTTTATGCAAAGAAAGTTTGCTTTAGAGGGTAGTGTTTTCTTTTCCTACTACGGAAGACTTGGTGGAAATCTTTGGGTTAGTAGGCATTCATGTATAATGTTGAAGGGCTAATTCATGTAACTTGCCATGATTTAAAGCAGCACTATGAAATAATAAGGTGGCTTTAGTTCTTAATTAAGAGATTGAGTTCATTTCTATGTCTCGTTGGCAAAAACTGCATAGATTGCAAAACCTTCCCTATTGAGATGCTGCGGTCTGACTTCTATGTATCATAGCCAAATAATATAATTTGTGGCTTTGTTTGGGACTCATGGACTTTGTGATGTTTTCAGGAGGAAGGTGGAGAAATCTGAATGAAAGGAAAATTCGATGCATTTCTACAGGAAGTCTAAAATCATAATAGCAACGTATGTACTGGTTTGACAAGAGGCTAGCTATGTTAGTTTATGATGTCATATCTAGTAATTAGTCAGGACTTGCAAGGAAATAGTTTTAAAATCTTCTTAGCTAACTTTTCAGTTCAGCATTAATAATACGCAGTACAAAAACCACCATGTGTGGTGACACCATGGTCAAAGCAAAATGAAACCTGCTATGGAAGTGTCTTGTAAATCCTGCTCATATAAAGCTGTACGACTTTTTTTCTTTGTTGCTGATCACAACTTTTATAAGCTTTTTCTTTTTTCAGTGACCCCCAGTCCAGTGAAAGGCAAAGGGAAGGCAGGCCGCCCCACAGCTTCCAAGGCAACAAAAGAAAAGACCCCATCCCCCAAAGAAGAGGATGAAGAGCCTGAAAGTCCCCCAGAAAAGAAAAAATCAGCCAGCCCTCCACCAGAGAAGTCAGGGGATGAGGGATCTGAAGATGAAGCACCCTCTGGTGAAGATTAAATGGCAGTTGAGGAAATCTTTGTTTAAAAAAAAAAAAAGAAAAAAAAAGAAAAAGGAAAAGAAAACATACTTAGGGGTAGAACACGGTTTTGGCTGTGGCTTGACTCATGGGCTTTGAATGCTGTCTTTACTTTCAGCTGTTCAATACAGTGTATCCTTTTTTTAATAAGAGGAAATCCTTATACAGTAATATTTTGAAGTCAATGTTCTCTGTTGGCTATTCCGTTCTCCCTCCCCCACCAAATCTGAAAGCCATTTGAGACAAATTAACAGACCATTTAAATATATATTTTTTTCAAGGGATACTGCAGTTGTGAAGCAATAAGGTTTGAGACTGATATGTGGAAACCACACTTACAAATCGTTAAGTAGAATAGATTTTCCAGTGCTGGTAAGAGTTCTTTAAAACTATTATTCTGTATTTGAATATGTGGAAAAAAAAAAAAAAGAACCTATGCTTTAACAGACTTTTGTTGATACAAGTTCACTCTCAGAAAAAGTGTAGTTGATAAGAATTCCAATTGTGGAAGTGGAAACATGGGGAGGAAACCTGTGTTTCTTGGATTCAGGCACGTTTTTCATGGAAAGCAATCAAGAGACTTGTAGATGGTCCACTGTCTTTTGTTTAGAAAAGACCCTTCAATTAGGTTGCGAGATCTTTTGTCTTGGCTGGATAGAATACTATTCTGCTTTAGGCAAATTGCAGTCCATTCTATACAAATTCAGATATACAACCTACAAGCTTCTCACATCCATTAACTCTATTTTATTTCTTCCAGGGTTGGCTATAGATGGGCAGAATAGGGAAGAGAAATTGAAAACAAATTTTAAAACTCTGGTTTCCATTTGGTATTGTGGAAAATGTCTTTAAAGTTTTTCCAAGGAAAAAAACCTAATGGGTAGCGTAAACCTAAATTCTTTAGCTTTTGGGGCGAGGGATGTCCTTTTATAAATGTGAAGCAAAGGATTCCTGTAATGCTCTGATCAGTCTCGGATCCCATGAGTCACGCTTAAGTGTTTCTCTTCTCTCCCTCCATCTGTCCTCAGAAAGGCTACGTAGTCATACCTCTCAGCCTCTCCAGCTACAGTGGTGGACAGCAGACTTCCATCGATAGTGAATGTCACCCCGATACCACTTCCATTTCTTCATCCTTCCATCCTACAGCGTGGGAGGCTTTGCTCCCACGTTGACATGTCTGCTTCTAACTGTTGGTCATCATTCTGCTCCCTCAGTCTAACAAGCGCTGAACAGGGAACAGTATTAAAGGATGAAGCTGGGAGGAAGTGGAGTTTGGAAGCAGTGTAGCAGGGCTATCGTTTTATAATAAATGCAGGATGTTCCTCCAAATGCAAGACACTTGAGATGTGTGTGGTGGCATTTTAATGTGTTTTTATCAAAGCAGCCATATCCTTTTTTAAACTTTAATCAAAATACACAAGCCTTGGTTTTCAAACCCTAACACAGAGGTTGCTGCCATGTTTGTTGGTGGAAATATTGAAAACTGGACCTGCCATTTTTCTTTCTTTTTTTTTCTTAAGCCCTTTGTGCTTTCTGTATATTGCTCACAGTTATCTTATAGCTGACAAGCTTTGCATCTTTTTTTTTTTTTTTGTCACAGAACTACACGTTTTGTACCCAGCCTCTTGAAGGTAACATAAGGCAGCTAATTAGTTGGATTTCTGGTGCACATGCTACCAGATTTTTAATCCTGTTTGGATTTTAGAGAGCTTTTAGATGTGATACACTAATATGACCAGGAAGGACACTTGGCTGAATGGTATAGGGAGCCTGAAGACGCTGAGCACAGTGTGGAGCCTAAAATGTGGAACGGAATATTAATATAACAGCCGAGTGATTGTCTTGTGTGATTCATAGCCATGGATTTTATTGAGGCTGGTAAATTACTTTACCTTGGCTTATAAAAATTTAAGTTCTCTAACATTCTTTACTATAATGAAACTACTGTTGCCGTTACAATAAAGATGATCGGTGTTTCCATTGTAAATCTTTTTTTTTTTTTTTTTTTAAAGTGGTTTAATTTTGCAGAACAGCTTAAGGCTGGAGTGAAGTATCAGTCTTGAAAAAGAAGCGAATGTAATCCCCTCTCCTCTCCCACACCTCTTCCCACCTTCCTGATCTCTGGGAGAGCAGTGTCTCTTGCATTCCCTCCACTCCTAGTCCAGTGCTTCTTGGGTAATATGGGAAAATAAATGGCGAAGTTTTAAAAAACATGTGGATTGAATTTGGGGGTGGCATACACTTTTGTGAATGTCTGGTCCGCATAGTGGTTCCCTTTCAGTCCAGACCATGATTCGAGCTATTCCTGTCTGTTGGGTTCTTAGGGTTTTTTTGGTATTAAAATGTACAAGGATTACTTAAACATAGCTGATCTGGTCAAACAGCTGTTTCTTTACCTGCTAGATCAGATTTTTTCTGAAGAGTGTATTTTGTAAGTTCCACTTAAAATATATTTTTGTTTTTCTTTCTAACACAGGTAACTAAGGCTGAGGCTGTGAAAAATACGTTTCCGTTGTTCTCAGTTCAGATTTTGGACTGGATGATTTTATGCCTGGCAGTTTTGGCCCTTTTTCTTACAAAACTGTTCCGCTTTCTCATACATTCATCTCTAATGGCTGTTACAGGCTGCATGACGCTTATCTTGGAGTTGGTCACAACCCAGACAATATGTAAATCCTGTACTACATCTGGGATTTTGTAACTTTTTCTATATCTTACTGTTTTGCTGATTTGTGCAAACACTAAGCCCTAATGGTCTCTTGGTTACTCTGTTAGAAATGCAGCAGTTTACCTTTTTACAGGTAGAAGAACATTGTGAAGGTTAATACTTTTTTTTTTTTGGTCAGTCCACAACACTTTTTTTTCAATAGTGGCAGACTTAACATTTTTAAATGTCCTTTTTAATTCATTTCTATTAAGTATTCTGATTTCTTGAAGGAAAGCTGTAAAAATGCCTTTCTTTAGGAACATGAATAGTTCTTCACGGAGCAGAAAGTTTCAGTCACAGAAGAAGACTTTGAAAAGATTGTCTTCTGTTACACAGCTGTAGTTTTGGAGCCTTTGCAGAGAGGTAAATGGATTTATTCCCAAGTTCAGTTACTCTAGTGCCCTGCCCTGGTCTTACTCTTAAAATGGTAGTTCATAACTAACTTCCATTATATATCCTTTTGTACATTCTGTTTCTGAATCCACACCACCACATTCAGTTTCACAGTTACGTGCTGATAGTACTGCCTTTAACTGGCCACAAGGCGCGGTTGATAAGAATCTGCAATTTCACTTGGAATTTCATACTAAAGATTATTTGCTTCACTTTCTGTTTGATCAGCATGAGAATGCCAAACGTGTCAAGCTAAATGGGTTTCAGAATGGATTATGGGCGAGAGCCAGACTTAGAAATGGGGCAGCCAAGAAGCTTTTACTTGTGTTGTTTTAACTTCATCAAAGCAGAAGAGTGTGTGGGGAGAGAAGCAGCACACCTCGCGTGACTTCTGCTAGGGAACCTCACCGGTGCCAGGTAACAGTTCTGAGCATGCTCAGCTCCTGTGCCACCACGGCTGCGTCTGCAGGTGATGGACTACCAGGGTAGTGGCAGATGATGTGCTTGAATTCCTTTTTTTTTTTTTTTTTTTTTTTTTTTTTCCCCTTCCCCTCCGCTGGTGATGGTCACAAAGGTACAATAGACACTGAGGCACCCAGGTTAAGGAGGGAGGGAAGCAAACTGTAACATGCTGGAAGCTTTTGAGCTGTAGAAACTGGTGCTTTGCTTTATGTAATTTGTTTGTGAAGTGTTTATTTTTATAACAGATCATATTGTTGAACACGTGGTTCTTAAAAACTACAAACTGATCCATGAGTTTAATATTTGAGAAGTGGATGTTCATCTGTTGGGGGAGGCAGGGTATGAAAATGTAAGCAGATGGATATTTAAAGGGACACTGTCACAAAATAGTTGCTGGCATATAGGATATGTTAGTTTGCGGGACTCACATCTATATGTGGAAATTATATATTCTATATGTATATGGTCAAATAGAAAATTTTCCCTGAACTTTGAATATTTTCCTACAGTTTTGGGAGGTTTAAATACAAGTTCTGCTAATGAACCTAGGAAGCTAAACTAGCTATTACGTTCTTACTGTCCAAGATGACTTTTTGGGTTTTTTTTTTTTTTAAAGTGCTATGAGGAATATCAGAGCTCTGAAAGATGGCAGTGTCCTTTTGAGACCTCCCCAAATCAAGCGTATCCTCGTTTTAGACTTCCCACTTCCGTAGATGACTGGCATTTGAATGTCTTCTCGTTGAACTCTTTATATTAAAAATGAAACACAAATATTTCTAAGTCTAGTCAAGTTCTCGCGATGTGCTGACTCTTGTGTATCAACCACTATTGGAGATCGCTCTCTAGACTGCCTGCCCCCTTCAGCCGCGGTGAATCGAGTGGGTCCATCGGTCTGAGCATGCTCAGTGTGACTGCAAAACACCATTGTGCATATGCTTTGTATATTGGGGCAAGGGTTTTTTATATATATATTTTGGGAGGGGTAGTGGGTGGGATGGAGAAATACTCAATCAGCTTAAGCCAGAATAATGTGTGTAAAAGCCCCTGAAGTATTTTGTGTGTGAGTGCGCGGGTGTGAGTGCGCGCATGGGAGTGTCTGACATCTTATATTCCCTTTGTGTTCTGAAGATTGGTGAGTTTTACTTTTTATTTTTTTTTCCTGCAGAAGCAATTGTTACAAAAAGTTGTAAATAAGAGCTCCATAATTTTTGTTTAACCATGAACATCATGTCACAGCAAACCCTGAATAATCACTTGGAAGGTAGAGGAGGAGACTCCAGGTAGGGCCTTCAGCCTTTGGCTGTCAGCAAGGCATTATTCTATGGTATGCAATGAATATTTGTCTTGAGTATTTGCAGACCCCTGTTGAGCTTTTCTAAAAATCAGGCTCTTTGCAGTTCCCCTCCTCATCCCTTTTAATTTTTTTTTATTTTTTTTTTTAATCTCAAGAGCAGACATTAAAGGGGGCAGCTGCAAACAGCGTTCCAGTGCTGCTGGCCCACGGTCGGGGTGTGTGCGGAGACGTGACTGTCATCACCGGGCCCGATAGGGTTGGCGGCTCTTGCAATACCTTGACAATACTGAGATCTACCGCATGGTACTAGGAGTTAAATCTGAATGTAACATTAATGCTTTATTTAAAATAAAAACAACACTTTTTTTTTTTAAGGGGTTGAAGTGAACATGACTGTTGACCATGTTCGTGAATTTATAGATGCAACATTCATTGGTAGAATTGTGTGATGGTCTTTTGTGCTACTTAATTTTACATATTCCAGTCTCTGTATGTACCTGCAAAGAAAGGAAAAAAAAAAAAAATAACAAAACCCTGCTTTGCTTTTATTGAAGGGTTCCCAGGACTGCATACCTGCTCCTGAGCTCTGTTTTAAGTATGTGTATCCTTCGCTTGTATTTTGTATTAAAAAAAACACAAGGAAAAAGAACCCTTTATTGTTCAGCATGTTGGAATTGTGTCCCCTCTTTTATTTTTCTCCTTTTTGGAATATATTAAGCAACTCATTCTTCTGTATCTTTTATTTTCTTTTGTAAACTTTTTGGTTTTGTTTAAAAATGGCTTTATAAAAGGGCTTTTATAACCCATAAACATGACTTGTGTAATTTTTCTGCTATTCAAAGATGATGATATTCTTCTGTGGTGGTTTGGTGCATGTTAGTGAGATGTAAAAACGTCTTCATCCCTTATGATCTTTGATAGTTTTGGGATTAATTCCTTTGCAGAGCTCGTGCTTTCTCTGAGGAGGGTAAGTCAGCTTGGCAAGTATGACCTTCACGTTACTACCGATGAGTCGAGGGGAAAGATTTAAAGAATTAAGTTATCTTGGCATTAAAGAACACAGTCCTTGGTTTCACAGGCTGTTCCACCAGAGGGTTGTGAGTTCAGGTTGTCAGGTTCAAAACCAATTACAAAAATCGATGACGAGGAGAGACAAAGGCTTTTACACGTCACGCTCGCCTCCCTCAGCTTTCCCTCGGCAATCGATAAACCTTTCTATTTTGCCATATATGCCCCGGCAATGACAATAAATACCCAGCCTGTTCTTCGTGGGCGTTGTGTGAAAGAGGACAACTGTGTTCGTCAGGAGCGTGTGTTAAATCACCGTTAGCTGGGTGTCATTTGGAATGCGGGTGAATTCGCCCAGGTACAGGTCGCGCTCTCCATGCGTTGTCCCCTGTGGCGGGGGTTATGGTGTGTAGCGACTTTGTGCTTTTAAGAAATCCATTATAGCGGATTTCACCCGACCTCCCGCAGAATCTCGGCCCTGAAGCCCTACCCTGACAAGCTCGGCGGCATTTTTAAGAGCATTTCGGGTTTTTTCTCCACTCCCTGGCCGTGCCCTCTCAGTCGCCCCGCGTTGTTCCGCGCTACGCCAGCAGGGGGCGCACCGCCCCAGCCCGCCATTTTCCACCCTGGGACGGGCTGGGCAGCGCTCAGGTATGGTTAAAGTCTGCCCTGTCACGACTGGCACGACAAACCGCAGATCCTGTAGCTATGTCTGTGTCAGATCTTGTAGCTACGTTCGTGTTTTGCTCACCTGTGTGTCTCTGTTAAAAACTGAAGTTCTGGCTCTTCAGCATGAATACCTGAAAGCATTTTGTTTCTGATGGGATTTGGGACAAAGCTGCTTCTGGCATCTGAAGAGACCTCATTTTTCTAAGGGTTTGGTATGGCAAAACACTTTTGCTTGCGACCTTACTGAGCAAGTACTTTTAGCAGGGCCGGTCGTGACAGGACAAGGAGTAATGGGTTTAAACTAAAACAGGGTAGGTTTAGACTGGATCTAAGGAAGAAATTATTGACTATGAGGGGGGTGAAACCCTGGCAGGGGTTGCCCAGAGAGGGGGTGGAGGGCCCATCCCTGGGAACATTCCAGGCCAGGTTGGACGGGGCTGTGAGCAACCTGATGTGGTTCAAGGTGTCCCTGCTCCTGCAGGGGGGTTGGGCTGGGTGACCTCTAGGGGTCCCTTCCCACCCAAACCATTCCATGATTCCAAGTAATTCTGGCACATCTTGTACTTGCCCCAGTTCAGCAGCACACTCAGCAGTAGTATCCAAGACGTTTGGTGCTTGGTACAACTGGACAGACCAGGTTGCCCCCGGTCGCAGCATTGGATGGTTGATGTATTTGTTTTCAGAGGTTGTTTTTGGGTACTTTGTGAAATGCCATCTCTGTTGCCCCACGCAAAATCCCATACATTTATTGATGGCCCTAAGCTGGTGCCTGGCTGCAGATTCTGCTTCTCTACCTGTTCTGTTTATTCTATTCCATAGAGTGGTAAACTGAGATTACCGTGACATAGGTGTGTTTGGTGTTGGACAGTGATGCTCCAGGCTTCTGGAATGGAGTGGTTTAATAATGCAGCTTATGGCATTCCTTCCTTTTCTTTTTTAATAATACCAGGCTATTAACCTTGACAGGTATTTCTACCTCACCGCTATGGTATCTGCAGTTATATGTGGCAGTCTTGACATGGATTCTTTATCTGGAGCAGCTGTAGGTGTAGCAGTACCTGAAGGTAACTCATTTCAGTTTTAGGATTAATTAGCTGTTAGCAGGTGGGGCACTTCTTTTGTCCCCACAAATAAACAGTATTTACTCTAAGGAATGGTGCAAGACCAGGATCTGTGAACTCTTCTCAGGAGCTGCCACGCTGCCACTCATCTTTGACTGTCCTGTTAGTATACACAGCCTTTGGCTGCTCTCCTCATTGGTATTGATCTTTTGAACCCAGTGTATTTACTGACTGCTCAGCCCTGTAGGCAGATGCTCTGCCAACATAAGTTAATATTTCCTATTGGCTTTGTAGTAGTATTTATAAGGAATTAATACCAGAAAGAAATTATTTGTTTTCCCACTGAATGGACGTGCATAAGAAGTGGACGCACATAGGGTTTTGTCACTACAGTGAGTGCTGCCAAACCCGGGGGGATAAGATTCCCTTGGCAAAGAATACTAGCTGTCAAGTTTTAATCTAGCAGAATTTTGCCTCAGGAATATCCTGTTTTCTGTTTCTTTGGTAGTGTTTGGTTACGGGATGAAAATAAAGTCAAAAGGTGGAATTCAAGATTAGATCTGTTTTCTGCAGTACAGCTTGTTTTGGCCCGATAGGTGGCCTTGAAAGAGTAAGTAAATGGGATGAAGTTGATTTAAAGAGCTGCTGTTCTGTTCTTGCCTATCTTGCATGTTGAAGGAAACCTGGAAAAATTGTGGAAATGGAGAGATTTCCCAGCAAATTCCCGGTACTTTAAAAGCATGTTTTTAGGTCTAGTTTTGATGCAGCAAACCACAAAGTGAACAGTCGGGGGCGTTTTTTTACTTCTTTCATTGGTGTTTGGGGTCTAGGTGCCATGCAATATGATAAATCAAGTACAGAAAGATACCACTAATGACCCAAACCCCTGCGGAGCTGGTACAAAGGCTGTCCCGGGGGAGCGGAGTAAGGAGAGCGTAGAGCTCTGAAAGGTGTCGTGTGTTGATTGAAAAGCACTAAATGTCCATAACGTGTGAGACGTTAGACTTGAATTTGATCTGGGCACACTGCTTATTAGCCTAGGATGTGGTTATGAACCAATACACATTTCCAGCTTCAGAGTTTTATGTAGACCAGGAAATGGTTTTGTGTGTTTTGGGGGGTTTTTTTCCTCTTCCCATAGATATAGGTCAAGTTCAAGTGCTGTTATCCCACTGTGGGCAGGCATTGGAATGCACTCTTCCCCCATGAACGAAGACGACCAGTAAGGGGGAGCTCCTTTTCAAAGTAAATGCTTGGATTAAAGTCTCCAGGTCAAATTCAGCCCTTGGCCTTAAACCATGCTTGCGGTTTGGTCTCCTGCACGTGCATGGTTCGTGATGGACAACAAAAGAAAACAATCTTGCCCAAAGTCAAAGCCGTTTCCTATTTTCTTCAATAATATTTCATTTACCCTTCAAAATTATAAGCTTGCTTTTATATTCAAGGGTTTGCTTTATATTCACTTGCAAATTCTGTAGCTCAAAAAAAAGACTGGTATTTTATTTGAATAATCTCTTGTCTTTCAGGTTGAATAACATTTGTGTTTTGAGTAGATAAGATAAAAGTCCAGCAGCAATAAATTTCCTGTTGTCACACTATCTTTTTTCCTTAAGCATTTCTAACTAAGCAGTTGGCCTTGTTAGGAGATTTTGGTTAGCATTATCAATTAGTGGCTTTCCTTAACAGTGGAGTCTGTTAGCTTTGTTAATTACAAACATTTTCAAACATTTTTGATTAATTGGAGTGGTTTATGTCTGAGAACTTCTGTCTTCCTTTTCTTGTGAAATGCAGTTAGTACTGATTTTTTTTTTTTTTTTTTTTAAATTGGCTGTTTCTGCTTGGATTTTTTTTTTAACTAAATGGTCTTCTGAATGTTTTATAAAGAGGGTGGTATTGTAGTCTCTCCTAAAGCATGCGCTGTGTTTCTGCTTCACTTCCTGAGGAATGAATGAAGGGAAGGAATAGTTGAGTATAGTCCTACTTATTATATAGACCCATCATTTCTTTTTCCCTAAGCTGGCCTTTTTTTTTTTTAATTTTACTTCACTGCTGCTGATGATACTGCATTTGAAACAGTTCTTTCTGTTCCCAGAAACAGTTCAGTACATTAGTTCTAAACTAATAGGTGACATATTTCTCAAAGACAGACTAGGTCTCATATTTGGAAATGACTCAGGGTCTTTCAGTCTCATTTACATTAAACTGGTTTTGCACCTTTAAATGCGTAATACCACTTACGTGACTTTCTAAACATTTTCCCCATTTCCTTCTTCTGTTGAGCCAAGGGTACCAAAAGGAAAAAGAAAATATCCATGGGTGCAAGTCCTTGTTCTCAGTCTTGCATCTCCTTCTCCCCACACCACCAATGGCTTTTAAGTGTAGAAGACCAAGCTGCAGAGTTTACCAACTTGTGTTACCTCTTATATTTCGTTTTCCCAAGTCACTTAAATGCAAACTAAATATTCTTAACATTAATAGATGACTTTGAAAAAGGGAGCTGTTATATGAATGCTGAATATTGCTCTGTCAGCTTTGATCTAAGGTGAGCTTGTTGGATATTTGTTT